GGGCGGGGCGCGCAGAGCCCAGGCCCACCCCCCCTCGCCCCTGCAGTGTCGGTGGTCATGGGCATCCCGAGTGTGCGGCGCGAGGTGCACTCGTACCTGACAGACACGCTGCACTCGCTCATCTCCGAGCTGAGCCCGCAGGAGAAGGAGGACTCCGTCATCGTGGTGCTGATCGCGGAGGCGAGTGGGCCGGCGGCGCGGCGGGGGGACAAAGGAAGACTCGTGGCGCGAAGTAACAAGGGATATTCCAGAGGACAGTGCTGTCGGAAATTCATCCGGGTCATTGACAAAGTGGTCACGGTGGAAGGTTTAGAAGGGTTCCAGTGCCCCTTAGGGAGATGCGGTGACAGGACCGCACTGGGGCCTGGCTCTGTGTCGCCCCATAGCGCTCTCAAACACCTGCGCTCCCAGGCCAGCCTTGCGAATGCCTGGAGGCACGCTTGAAGCCCGCCCTCCACCCCTTCCTCCAGGCCTTTGAGGTGGCCCTGGGCTAAGGGAGGGCCCTTGGTCTCCCCGCAGACTGACCCGCAGTACACTTCAGCAGTGACAGACAACATCAAGGCCTTGTGAGTACTGGCCGGAGGGGAAGGCCCGGAGGGGGAGGCCCCGGGCTTCCTCCTGTGGGGAGGGGCTTCCCCTGTCTGGTGACTGGGGTATGGAGCCCTGCTGCTGTGGCTGGGTTTGGAGGGCGTGTGTGTCAGGGGCATCTGCCAGTGAGCCCTAAGGACAGGGCGTGGTTGGCCTCCCCCCAAGTCCCTGGAGGCTGCACACCCACTGGGTCCCTGTCCCCAGGTTCCCCACGGAGATCCATTCCGGGCTCCTGGAAGTCATCTCCCCTTCCCCCCACTTCTACCCTGACTTCTCTCGCCTCCGCGAATCCTTCGGGGACCCCAAGGAGAGAGTCAGGTACTCGTCCTCCCTGTGCCCAGCAGCCCGCACACTGGGCTTGGAGTCCAGCCACGCGCCTCCAGGCCAGGCCTTGACTTCCCGTGCAGGCCCCTCGTGGGGGTGGGGCAGGGCCTCCCACTCAGGGGCTTCTGTTGGTAGCCATGCTGGAGGGGGTCTGAGCGGAGGCCCCGCCTGCCGGCAGGTGGAGGACCAAGCAGAACCTCGACTACTGCTTCCTCATGATGTACGCGCAGTCCAAGGGCATCTACTACGTGCAGGTCAGCCTGGGCCTGGCCACAGCTGGGGGGCCTACCCTGCCTGGCGCCCGCCTGAGCCCCGGCCCCTTCTGCCCGCCCCGAGCAGTTGGAGGACGACATCGTGGCCAAGCCCAACTACCTGAGCACCATGAAGAACTTTGCCCTCCAGCAGCCCTCGGAGGACTGGGTGATCCTGGAGTTCTCCCAGCTGGGCTTCATTGGTGCGTCCCACTAGCTCCCGTCTGTCCTGACTAGGCCCTACCCGGAGCACCAGCTGCAGCCCCACCAGCCCTGCAATCGGGTGCCTGGGCTCCCCACCCCTGCCCACCCCTGCCTGCCCCTGGTGCCCACACCTGCTGAAGCCCACCCGGCGCCGTGGGGATTAGAGGAGGGCAGCACCGCCCACTCAGCACCTACCCCGCCCACCCAGGGAAGATGTTCAAGTCGCTGGACCTGAGCCTGATTGTGGAGTTCATCCTCATGTTCTACCGGGACAAGCCCATTGACTGGCTGCTGGACCACATCCTCTGGGTGAAAGTCTGCAACCCCGAGAAGGACGCGGTGAGCGGGGTGGGGGGGGCCTCCTGGGGTGCGGGCTGGCTGACCTGCCCTGGGGCTGCCCTGGGTGGCGGGGCTGAGCCCCAGGGCTGCATTCCCACGTGGGGCTGCCCTGGGTGGCGGGGCTGAGCCCAAGGGCTGCATTCCCATGCAGAAGCACTGTGACCGGCAGAAGGCCAATCTGCGGATCCGCTTCAAGCCGTCTCTCTTCCAGCACGTGGGCACTCACTCCTCGCTGGCTGGCAAGATCCAGAAGCTGAAGGTGGGCGGCGCCGTGTGGCAGAGCTGCCTGGCCAGGGCTGGGAAGGGCGGGGCAGGGAGTGGGCCCATGCTGCAGGCTTGCCTCCTCTGCTGCAGGACAAGGACTTTGGGAAGCAGGCGCTGCGGAAGGAGCATGTGAACCCGCCGGCCGAGGTGAGCACAAGCCTGAAGACGTACCAGCACTTCACCCTGGAGAAGGCCTACCTGCGCGAGGACTTCTTCTGGGCCTTCACGCCTGCTGCCGGGGACTTCATCCGCTTCCGCTTCTTCCAGCCGCTGCGCCTGGAGCGGTCAGTGCCCGCCAGGGTGCCCTGGGAGGGGCAGGGCGGCCCCCAGGCCGAGAGGCTCCCACTTTTCCTAGCATGCAGGCCCTTCACAGCCTCAGCAAAGCCTAACCCCAGCACACCTGTTCTCCCAGGCAGGGGGGCTCCCAGCAGGGGCTCCCTTGCAGCACCCATGGGAGCTCAGTAGCAGGGCCGTCACTGGCCTCTGTGGCTGTCCCCGGCCCCCCCTGCCTGTGTCCCCACCCAGGCCTGCCCTTCCTCTGCCCCAGGGCAGTGCGTCTGGGACATGCCCCCGCCCCCGCCACAGCTCACAGGCCTGCCTGGCCGTAGGTTCTTCTTCCGCAGCGGGAACATCGAGCACCCAGAGGACAAGCTCTTCAACACGTCAGTGGAGGTGCTGCCCTTCGACGTGAGTGTGGTCGGGGCGGGTGTTCACCGAGGCCTGACCCTCCCCGGCCATCAGCTTCAGTTCCCTGATTTCGCCCCCAGAATCCCCAGTCAGACAAGGAGGCCTTGCAGGAGGGCCGACCAGCCACCCTCCGGTACCCGCGGAGTCCAGACGGCTACCTCCAGATCGGTGAGTCGCGCTTGGGGTGGGGGTCGGGTTTGGGGGCCAGTTGGGCTTGGGAGCCCACCAGCCCCCGCTCAGTGCTGCCTCCCCCAGGCTCCTTCTACAAGGGCGTTGCAGAAGGCGAGGTGGACCCTGCCTTTGGTCCCCTGGAAGCTCTGCGCCTCTCCATCCAGACGGACTCGCCAGTGTGGGTCATTCTCAGCGAGGTGAGGTGGGCAGACAGGACAGGGCAGGGCTGGGCGGGTGCTGAGCCCCACTGACCCCAAGTCTGACTCTTCCAGATCTTCCTGAAGAAGGCAGACTGAGCCGAGCCCTCTGCAGTGCGCTGCAGCCGCCTCGAGGCCCACGTTTCCGGGGTCCCATCACTGCTGCCCCTGGAGGGCCAGGCACAGCCACCCCGGCTCTGGCCACCTGGGGTCGCCGCTGGCCCGGAGTCCCCAGGAGCTGGTGCTGCCCCAGGGATAGGCAGGGGCCACACAGTGCCTGAGGGCGGTGCCGCTGCCGGACTGTCCCGCACCGCAGGCCCCTCGGCCGGCGTTTCAGGAGCTTTCAGGCGCCACCCTGGGCGCGAACACTGGAATGCATAAACTACTTTCTGTGCTGTGTTTTTTATTCTTGGATACATTTGATTTTTCACGTAAGTCCACATATACTTCTCTAAGAGTGTGGCTTGTAATAAAGGGTTACTGAAGCGTGCGCCTCCATGTGCATGCTGGGAGCTGGACAGACACCTCACGACGCCGAGCCTGCGAGGGGGTTCTGGCCTGTGCCTGGAAAAGCCTTGCTGAGCCTGCAGCCGTGGGGAAGCCTGGGAGCAGGCCTCGGGTGCGGCCTCCTCACCTTGGATGTGGGCGTGCGTGTCCCCCCCACCCCAACAATATGGCAGGTCCTCATCAGCATGGGGAGCCAGCCCAGAGCCGGGCATCAAAAACCGTCCCTGCCCTGTGAGCACCCCTGTGGGCACAGCTGACCCCCGACTGCCTGTTACCGGGCCTTCTCCGGTACCTCCAGCTGAGGGTGGTCCGCAGCCTCGTTCCCCTCTGCGGGTCTCAGTGCTGTCCTGGTCAGGGTCCTCAAGTTCTGCTGATTCCTGACACGTTAGGGTCTCCCACCCACCCCAGGGCCTTTGCACAACTGCTGTCCTCGCTCTGAAAGTGTTTTTCTTCTGCAGGCTTAGCTAAGTCACGTCTGCAGGGGGGTTTGTTCAGCCTGGGACAGAGTGCTGACAGCAGAAAGGCCCCTGCCCTTGTCCAGGTAGAGACCACAGGCTCTAATGGCAGGAAGGCAAGGACTGGGTGAGGTGGCAGTAGGTCACTGCAGGGGGCCTTGGGAGGAAGGCGAGCTCAGCACAGGGGAGCTGGGGCTTGAACTCTTGCAGTAAATGGCTTCCCAGCAGGTCCTGTGCCCTTAAGGCTGAAAGTGCGATGGGGGAAGGACCCAGCGCGTGTCCGATCTCAAGAATCCCTTTTTCGGGATCCAGCAGTTAGTGTAATGGCTATGTCGCTGGACTCCCACGTAGTCGACCACGGTTAGCATCCCGGACCCAGTGTCTTAAACTCATGCCGGGCGCGTGTGCGTGCGTGCCCAAGATCCCGAGAGGAGAATGGAGAAGGGATTGCGGCGTGGCCATCCCCCCTGGGGGGTGATTTCTCGCTTTCTGTCTCTCTCTCTCTCTCTCTGTCTGGCGAGCGCATGCACCCTATAGCGAAAATCTCTCAAAAAAAAAAAAAAAAAAGCCTTTTTCTAAATTTCATTATTACTATTAAGAGAGGTTTTTGCTATAGGATGTGTGCGCTTGCTGGAGAGACAGAGATAGTGAGAAACCACCACCACCACCACCACCACCAGGGGGGATGGCCACACTGCAATCCCTTCTCCATTCTCCTCTGGGGATTTTGGGCACACACACATGCTCCTGTGTGTTTTAGGCTGCTGGGTCTGAGACTTGAACAGTCAACTCTGTGGTGTGTTGGTCCCATATTATTAATATGACTTTAGAAAACTCGCTATAGGGCAAGTGTCTTCCCAGAGAGAGAGAGAAAAAAAGGAAAGTGAGAAATCAAGGCAGCCAGTCCGGGGCTTGAACCATGGTCGTCCTTGTACGAGTCCAGCGCCTCAAGCACCGCTCTGCCTACTTGTCCGGAGTCCTCTTTCCTTCTCAGCCTCATCCACGCCGCCCCCAGGAAGCCCACCAGATTGCTACCACCTGGCACTGGGTTCCTCCAGGTCCCGCTCCCACTCCGCGCGTCCACCTCCGACCAAGAGAATGCAGCCAGGGTGGGTCACAGGGACTTTAATCAGAGACGGGGTGCAGAGGCAGGCACCCTCCCCCACGCTCCTGGAGGCTCCAGCTCCGCCGACCGGCGTCCTCGGTCTAGGCCCTCGGCGTCCCGAGCCCCCGGAGGAGCGCGGCGCGCAGCGCGGCGGGGAGGAAATGGACGAGCAGGCCGAGCGCGGCCAGCAGCACCAGCAGCCAGAGCGCGCCGGCGCTCGCGTACAGCGGGGCCAACCTGCGGGCGGCACTCAG